ACACACACACACACACACACACACACACACACACACACACACACACACACACACCTGTCTTCTCTTCAATCTCTTCTCAAGTCAGAAACTACAAGAGAAACTCTTGCCAAGCACAGAGGCTCATGCCTGTCATTCCAGCACTTTGGGAGGCGGAAGCAAGAGAACTGCCTGACTCCAGCGTTTGAGAACAGTCTGGGCAACTTGGCAAGACCTTGTCTCTATAATAAATCAAAAAAAAATTAGCCAGGTGTGGTGGCACACGCCTGTAGTTCCAGCTACCAGGAAGGCTGAGGTAGAAGGATTGCCTCAGCCCAGCAGGTCAAGGCTGCGGTGGCCTTGAGTGTGGCACTGCACTCCAGCCTGGGTTGCAGAGTGAGACTCCAACTCAAAAAGAGAAAAAAGAGCAAAAAAAAACTCCTTAAGGCACTTTGGGAAGCTGAGGTGGGCGGATCGCTTGAGCCCAGGAGTTTGAGACCAGTCTAGACAACATATTGAGATCCTGTCTTTACAAAAAAAAAAAAATGTAAAAAGCAAACATTTAGTTGGGCATGATGGCATGCACCTGGTGTCCCAGCTACTGGGAAGGCTGAGGTGGGAGGATTCCTAGAACCCGGAAATTTGAGGCCGTAGTGAGCTATGATCATGCCACTGCATTCCGTCCTGGGCAACAAAACGAGGTCCTGTCTCAAAAACTAGCTACCTGGCCCTCACCAACCACCCAATCTTGATGTAACCTCCAAATAGGCAGGGAAGTTTGTCATGTAAACCCCTCTGTCTTCAGTGTCCAAATTGGTTCCTGTCATACAGTAGGCATACAGCAATATTTCCTGGAATTGACACTTTACCTAAAAGAGCTCAATTTTCATTTATAGTAAAGTAAAATAATACTGTTTAAAGTTGACTCAGGAAATAGCACTGTCACTACAAGGAGGTGATGCCAGGTGGGATGTGCGACGCTAAACTCGTGGGTTCTTTGGCTCAACCTTAAAATGAATTTCAGAGCCATCAGCAAAGTTTTAAAACAAAGTTTATTAGTGAGAAGAGAGGAAAGAAAGGGCAGGCAAAAGTTTCATACCAGAAAGGCCTGGCACAGGCAAGTCTCTCTCAAAAAAGAAAGACTGCGCTTTGGTTCTTCACTAAGAAACTAGATGTATTTTCATGGCAATTGATATGCTAAAGAGGGTGGGACACAAGCCACCCCACAGAGAAACTGAGGTCTCTCTGTGTCTGACAGGAGGAGTCCCAGGAGGAGTGGTCTTTTCCAGAACTCGTGGTTTGCAGGATACCTGCCCCATTCCCAGTTCACACGTTCATGAGCTAAATGGTGGTCTTAGTATCATTTCTAAGGCTTTGGTCAGTGAAGGGGGAATTATGCTAAACCGTGAACTGAAAGGCTGGGCTGTCTCGTGCTTGCATCTGACTGGGTTTTCTTTTGATCTGCCAGGGGGTGGGAGACTGCAGCTTGGCCTGCAGTAAAACAGGTAATAAAACCTGCCTGCAGGGAGGTTACCCACTGTCCAGCCTGCTCGGCCGACCCAGCCTCGAGGTAAATGTCAGAGGACACAGGGGAGGAGTCAGAGTTCTTGTTCCCAGGAGCAGGACTGCCCCAGAGAACAGTCCGTGTCCATACGGCCACCCGAGGGTCTTC